AATAAATCAATTTATTTTTAAAAATGTTTAAGTTCAATTTTAATTATTTTGAATGTTCATAATCAAAACTAATAATATTTTTTTTATTTTTCTTATGTGGCATATTATATAACAAAAGAATTTAATATAAAATGTGATGAATTGAACATCACATGTTTTCATAATAAAAAAAAATCAAAATATATTGAATTGAGCGAGTAAAGAAAATATCTCATAAGAATTTATATTTTTTTTCTCCATCGATATTTTCTTAATGATTAACATGTAATATGTCAAACTTTTTGAGCAGATGACGTTGTCAAGGTGACTTGTGAGGTTGGAGACAAAACTTATGTTGCTTATGAGAAGACCAGAGACTTGGAAAAATATAGTGTTAATGTGAAGGGATTCCCTTACAGTGTTGAATGGGTTCCCTTTCTGGAAGGGTAGAGCAAAGGCTTGCAGGTTTGAGCTACACCCAGCACCGAATGGCTCAAAGTGCATGTTTCCCACCGACCTCAATAAAGGAGCCCCACTCACAGTCATTGTCAAATCTCATGAGCTCATTGTGCTTAAGGCTAAGTCTCTTGCATTTGCCCCGAAGGCTCCTTATGATGAGTATGACAAGACTAAACCTTCTACATACCATTCTAATTCTCCCACACCTCAAAATTTGGCCTACTATTATCAGTCTCCTCCTCCGTCATCATCTCCTACATACCATTACTTCCATAAACTTCTTCCACATCTCTGTCACCTTCTTATTACGAGACCACCACCATCTCTATCTATGTTGCCTCCTTACTACTATAATTCTCCACCCCAACCCTCACAATCAACTCCTCCACACTACTATGACTCGTCACTAGCTGCATCACCATCCTCACCCCCTTCTATTTATTATAAATCTCCATCCCAACCATCTTTTTCTTCACCATCTCCTTACTATTACAATTCTCCACCATCACCCTCACAATCCACAACACCACCCTTCTACTACAACTCCCTGCCTCTATCATCACCTTCCCTCTTTCCACCAAATTATTCAAAATCTCTGCCCCCATAATTTTCATCTCCCCCTCATCCATATTATTATAATTCTCCACCACTGACCCAAACACCAATTCCTACAAACTGTGACTACTCTCCTCCAACCCCACAACCCTCACTAACACCAACAACCAACTACTACAAATCTCATTCACCATTATTAGCATATCCACCTAAATACCATTAAGTTCCCACCCCACCCTGATCATATACTCCTATTTTCTATAGCCACAAATCTCCTTTACCATCTTCAACCCATCTTTATCTTACCATAATTTCCATCATCCGTTGTCACAATCTTATCATCTTAAAGGATTGTCTAAATAATATGGTAACACTTATCTTGCTGCAATTATCAAAAGCTACTTTGATGTATTTGTTATTGTGAGAAATAATGGATGCATGAAGTTGAGAGATAATAGTACCTATTGTTAGATTCAAGGGTTATTTTATTTCTACTAAATTTTAAAGCCAGCTTGTTTCTACTATTTTATTTCTATGTATATTAATTGGTACACATCTATATTAATTGGTCTTCACTTTCTGAATTAATCATATGATATGCACAAAAAAATCCTAATTGACATTATGAGATAATATATTTAGTTAAAAACTTATAGAAATAAATCAAAATGAGCATTAATGTTGATGAAATTAATCCATAGAATCGAATTTAATAATGGATAATTTGATAGCTTTTAAAGAGAAAAATATTTTAAGAGAAAAAAATTCTAATTTCACTCATTTTATTTCTCTATTTGGTTGTTAGCACTATGAGATGACTAAGTTAACAATTTTTAGAAACATATTAAAATGAGCAAAAACTTGATGAAATTAAACCATGATGAGTTTTTGTAAGGGATTATTTGAAATTTTTCTAGAGAAAATTATATTAAAATATTGCAATTTTGAATTCAATTATTTTTTGAACAAAATAATATATATATATATATATAATTTTGCTTATATATATATATATATATATATATATATGTTTAATATTTTAAAATTTTCGAAAGCTTAAGATTCATTTTCATTTCCTTCATAATTTCAGAGGAAATGAGTATGAATCTTTTACTATTATTACTACTTCTACTGAAAATAATAATCATGACAATAAATGGTCCTAAGTAAAATATATTTCCAATTATGAGAATTATATTCCAATTGGAAAGATTAAACAAACTTACTAAGTGTTTGTAGCTCATTTTTTGAGCTTCTCATTAATGCATGGATCATAATCAGTATGTACTTTCATCTCCATGAACTACATAGATTCATCCATGGCGATTCTCAGCTACAACAACTGATTTTTACAATTCTCATCAGCTTTCTATCGATTGGTCACCCAAAGATAATTTTTTTTAGATTTTTTTCATTTTGTTATTTAAAATTATCCTTTCTTGCCTTTAATTTCTAAAAATTGTTATTCTTTTTTGTTCTAACATTTGATCGAGTTTAATCACAAATACACTCATATTATATATTTAAAGCCTAAGACTAGAACTTTTTAGTTAAAAGTTTAAACTCTCAACAAACATATTAAGATAGCTTGCATAATTTATCTTTTTCTACTCTTATGTTCCATAGTTAGCAATTTTCTTTAATCTATAGTTATAGAAAAGTTAAGGCTACATATGTTGGATTCCAATAAAATTCAACCTTCTTTAAAAAGCATCTAATAGAAAAGTATATTTAAATAGCCTAGAAAATATTTTTGTAATTATTTTTAATCCCAACTATTTTATTTATTGCACATTATCTAACTTTAATATTATTAAATTTACATCAACAACAATAACAACAACAAAGTTTTATCCTACAAGGTAGGGTCGGCTACATGAATCATTTTTCTCCTTTGTATTTTATTTAGTGTCATATTTTCATTTAATTGTAATAAATTAAGAACTTTTTTATAGAACATGCACAATTTTTTTTAGGTCTAGTTCTACATTTCCTAGCATAAGTCAAATCTAAAACATCTACTATTTTAACAAGGTCATCAGATGACCAATGTCTAATGAGACCAAACCATTAAAGGTAACTCTCTCTAATCTTGTCTGTCACTGGAGCTACTCCAATCGCTTCACGGATATATTTGTCACACTTTTTTGTCTCTTAGTTTAAAACCACATATCCACCCGAGCATTCTCATCTCAGTAACACTTAACTTTATTTAATGGTTCTTATTTACAGGTTGACATTATGTGCCATTAAGCATTGCAGGTCTCTCTAACGTTTTATAAAACTTTCCTTCAAATTTATGTGGTACTTTTTTATCACTTAACATGCCCTATGTATTCCACCACTTCTGTCATATAACTTGAATTCTTTCAATAGCATCTCTATCTATATCACCGTCATTTTGAACAATATACCCATGATATCTAAAACTTTTACTCCTTTTAATGACTTGATCACCTATTATTACATCATCGCCACTATATTTATTATCACTAAAATTATATTCAATGTATTCAATTTCATATCTACTCAAGAAAAAAAACCTTTATGCTCTAAAGTTGACCTCCATACTTCAAGTTTTTCTTTAAATCTCTCTCGTCCTATCCACCAAAAGGATATCATCAGTGAGGCATACACCAAGGTATATCCTCCTGTAATGTCTTGTAAAAACATTAATAACTAAAGCAAACAGATATGCGCTTCAAGCCAATCTGTGATGTAATCCAACTGAAATAGAAAAATATTTGGCAAATCCTCTATATTTTCAAACACAATTAACAGCTCTAGTATACATATCTTTAATGACTTGAATATAAGTAATATCAACACCTTTTTTTTCTATAACTCTCCAAAGTACTCTTCAAACTTTATCATAAACTTTTTCTAAATCAACAAAGATCATGTGTAGATTTTCCTTATTCTCTCTATACTTTTCCATCAAACCTCTCAATAAATTTTTTTCTTCCATAGTAGATATGCCCAACATGAAACTAAATTGATTTTGAAAAATATTTATATCATGTCGTAACCTATGTTCGATTACTAATAAAATATTTTGTTATTATTTATGATATTAAAGTCACTAAATTCATCGTATTTTTCACATTCTTCATTGAAATGTTTATCAAAATATTTCACAAATATATGTCTAATATGCTCATCCAAGAAAAGTATTTTTTTCATCATTAATACACGATATTTGATCTAAAACTTTTTTTTTATTTCTCTTTGGCTAGTTTAAGCATGTATATTTTAACCACTTTAATATAAAATCTATTATAAAGATCATTAAAAGTAAAATTCTTAACATCAAAAATTATTCTCTTAGACTATCACCAAACCACATATTTTTCTCAATTCTTAAAACTTTTACATTTAAACCAAATTCTATAACAAAATCTTATTTTTATTGTTTCTTACACATTATTGTTCTCCATTTAACCATTTTTATTCATAAAAGTTTTTCTTTTGATTCTCCAAGCACATTTTTTAGAAATTGCTTAATCATACTCTCTACTTTATACCGCATAGTATTAATTTCTTAGTGAACATCCCAAACAATATTATTACATTTACATATTTACTTTAATTTTTCTTAACTTCGCAATATCACATTTACTTGTTATATCTGCCTTTTAATTTTTTTTAATACATTATCAACACTTAAAAGTCAACAAAATAAAATACGATGAGGGGAAGAGAAAGAGTGGACGAGTCATTTCATATTATTCTAATATATTTCCATAAATCACACTATGGTTTAAGGAAGATATACTTTTCATAATATGATAGAATATTATTAAAGATTTGAAGTAGGCTTTCAAGGAACTTCCCTCCAAAGATTTAGAGTATACTCAAAAGAAATATTTCCAAGAAAATCTAGAATGAACTTTGAAATAATTTCTCTAAAAAAGACTTCAAAATTCAGGCTTAAAAAAAATGAGAACTCAAATTCTTCAAATAAAAAAAAAAAAAGTTGCTAATTCTAAAATAATACCATCTTTTATTTAAATTCTCCAGCGCATTGTGATCATTATGCTTCTTAATTCTCCAAATAGGGAAGCATGATTAAGGCTACAAAGCAAGAAAATAAATATCTACAGTAAAACATATGTTACCGTTAAATATAAAAAAAAAATTTGAATTTGAATGAAATGTCACACATAAAAAATAAGCAGATCTGAATAATTTAATCAGAAATGCTTGTAACCACTGCTAGCAATATACATATGGAATGTCCCGGATCAGTTGTTGGGATCATCATCATTCCTGATAACAGAGTAAGGAACCTTCCCTAATACAAAAAAAAAATTTATTGTCAAGCTCTTGATACATTCTCATCCTCAGAGTTTATTAGTAGTAGAAGTAGAGGAATAATGTTTACCACCACCATCTCCTTGGATCTCCGATGATGGCCCGGGGAGAAAATCACCACTAGAAGCCTCTTCGTCCCTGCCTTTGGCTTCTTCACGATTCACATATGTTGTCTGGAAACTTTTCTCATCTTCTTCTGAACCCCTGCATTCAAAAATATTAGCCGTCATTTGGGATTATTTTTAATTTCAAATCTTATTTTACTTTTTTTATATTTTTACTTGAAATAAAAAATGTTTGATATGTTATAACATAATTTTAGATATTTTGAGTGTTTAATAAAATAAGTTAATTTGTTTTTGAAAATAAAAGATAAAAACATATAAAAATTGTAATAAACAAACATAATTTAAAAAAAAAAGGAAAACAAAAAGAAAATAGAAGTGATCCCGGGGCCCGTTTGTGATCACTTTTTTTGTTTATTTTTAGATTAAATTAAAATAAATTTGATTGAGCTGGTCGTTTTTTAAAAAAGACTTGGAACTTCTTTCTAAGCATTTTCAGTATATTTAAAAACAAGTTGATTTATTTTTTAAAATAAAAAATATACAAATTATTCCAAATAAACATATTTTCAAAAACAAAAGTACTAATAAAAACAAAAATAGGAAACAAAAGTAATGGCAAACGGGCTCTTAAATTAATGATTTGTTCTTGCTGTAGGATATGTAGCTTAGATTTAGAGAAATATTAGAACTTACCATGAGTATACTGTAAGTCCAATAGCAACTGTAACAAATGCTAGAAAATACATCCAATCAACCTGAAACAGAAATGAGAAACTAGCATTTAGCATATAGCATATAGCATTTGGCTCAACATAAAAATGTGTATAATTCTAATTAGTGGTGTTTGAGCACCTTTTCATGATAGGCAAAGATGCGTATGAGAACTGCCCACATATCTGAAGTGAGCAGAGAAAGGTTTAGCATGGCTGAGCCACTTATCTGTGAGATGAAAGGGAGAGAAGGATGATCCAAATTAAACATAATTCATAAAGTAGTTCCATATTTTTCTTTTTTATACTAATTTGCAATTTATTGCAGTTGCTAATGCAACAAAAAAAAAACATAAAAATGTATTTATAGTAAGCACCTTCACATCCAAGTAGACAATATCTCGATGAAGAAACTATAAAAAATATGCTCTACATGTTTTGACAAGGATAAAAGCGCAATGGTTGTTTTTATCTCTACTCCCTTTTTAGCACCAATTTGGTTTCTGACATTTGTCTAAATTGTAAAGGGTCCAAGCAATCATAAAGTTTGATCTGGTTTAGCATCTCAGTAGTTTGTTTTGACTTCTTATAATCTACTTATTATAACCTCTATTTTAGGCGGATTTAGTCAAATAACATGCCAATACGGACTATACTGCATCAACTCTTCTGAGGTACAAAAAGCTCTCACATGGAGATTTAACAGCCTACAAAAAGCTCTCCCACTTAAATGCAGTTACATAAAACTAGGTAGGTGTACATAGGCAATTATTATGTTTAGGACATTTATATTTATCAGTCTACAGATTGTTAGGCTTTGATACCATTTTGTAAGCTTTAGGAGTTGATGTTTCACTTATTTTTAATAACTTTCGTTCACAAGTATTTTCAAAATTTAGATTATTTTTTAATCTATACAGTACCTCTTCTATTTTTCTAATATGATTCATATGACTTTTCTTTAATTGTCGTAATCTTATTTCGAATTCTTCAAAATCCTTTTGCATATTTAAAAATTTCTTCCTAATCTTCTGTCTAAAAGATTATAATAAAGTATTAGGGTCTATTATGCTTCCACATCAAAGTTTAAAATAATGTAATCCTATTAGCCATTATAGAGTTTCACCTTAGAATCTCCGCTTCATCTTGCACCTTTCTCTGTGGTTTTCTAGAGAAAGTAAGAGCTCAACAAAAAAATAAAGGTCCATACAGACCACAACCTTATGCAAGTACTTCAGAGATTTAAAGCACAACAGTATCTCGTTTCATATCCTATGCGTAGCTAGAATAGATAGAAATCATGATTGTACAAAATATGTTTTGAAACAAACAAGCAGAACATAATATTTATTAATACTTAAAAGACAAACTTACAGACATTGAGTAAGAAGAAGATAATTAACAGCAAAGGCAAACAGACATCTTTAAATTACAAGAGAAGAAGAAGAAATCCTAACTAGCTCTACCCCCTTCAGGAGAAGAGAGAAAGCCTTAAATAAAAAAAAAGAATACATTAATCGTCACTGCTGATGGTTACATGAAATAATTGATGCTACTTTCCAGGCTTGTTGAGCAAGGGGCATCTACATTTGTCGAAATAATTCTAAGAATATTTTTTATTGATAAAAATTGATCTGCTTTTGTCGGAATAATTTTTAAAATATTCTTTTACTTTAGATGGTGCTCTACTGGAGAGTATTTTATTAGTACGCCTTTATGCTTATCTTCTTACATCTTGCTTTTATGCTTCAACCTCTTCTCGTATTTCTTATATAGTATCTCTTTTCTGAAAAATACATACATTTGTGAATTTTCTCCTTCAATAATTTCTGACAGAATAATTCTTTAATTTCTTTGCTAACGGCTAAATTGTTTTTGTTGACAATTGAGATTCACTTCTTATAAATTAATTCATAAATCTTTTTAGTAGGCTGCTTACAGAGATTACATATGAATAATTTTTCTAAGCAATAATATACCCAGACATTATAATGATCAATTTTCTTTGTCTCAATCCATATTTGGTATATGTTTTCACCTGCTCATCTCTGAAATGGTTTTTCTGTAGATTTGTATTTTGAGGTGTAGGGCTCGCTGCTAATTCCAATTTATATTAAGAAAATAACTCCTTTTATCTTATGATGAGTTTGATATAATTTGATAAATAAATTCCAATTTTTAACTACCTCGTGGAAAGTTTCCACCACTTCAATAATTAGTTTCGGTAATTCTTTTAGAAGATAATTATCTTCTAAATATATCATACAGACTAATCCGCATTTATATAATTCTGAGACAAACTTTACATCAGTATTTCTATACATATAAGTAACTTGATATTTTCCAGATATATGGAAATAAATCTAGAATTAGCTCTGTCTTTATAAAAAGATAATTGTTGTCATTCCTGTGTTGTTTCTTTAATCTCTTTTTAGATGTGTCATGTTGTATTTTTGAATACGTAAGGGTTTTTTGAAGAATATGGTTCTTCATTTTCAGTAATTGAAGAAGAACCTTTAACTTTTTCTTTATTTTCTCCAACAATTCTGATATTTGTCATATCTATAATTTTCTTTAAAACTGATAAAGATGGTAACACTTCCTCTGGTATTTCTCCACTGAGATATTTTTTATTTTAAATAATTCATTTAGAATGTTATTCTAAAAGCAATCTCACATTCTAATTTTTAAATTTTTAGATCAACAATTTCCAGATAATTGGTTATATCTGGATTAGATTTTTTTTCAAGCTCGCTAATTATGTCATAAGTATCTATATTCATTCCCCGCATAATTCACATGTAGTATATCAACAAGAGAATTTTAATTTCCTTTTATGTATTCTAAATCGAATATATATGCAGAGAACCAACTTTGCCATCTAATTAATTGTTTATTTGGTAATGAATCAATAATTTTTCTTTTAATGAAAGAAATTGTAATTTTATTGTCTGTTCAAATTAAAAATGTTTCATTTAAAAATATTTCAAATTTTTTAACTGCTTTCTTTATTGCTAATAATTCTTTTTCGTTTATAAGATAATTTTGTTCTATAGTGGTGTAAGTTTCTAAGCTATATCTACATAAGAATTCATCACTATTTCTTCTAGCTTTAAGAACTGCACCCCATGCAATTTCTGAACTGTCTGTTTCGATAATTAGATAATCTCTTTGTATTGATAAATGTAATTTTGGAAGTTTTTTCCATCATTCTTTAATTTTATTTAAAATCTTTTCACCCCTTTTATCCCAATAACAAGACATTTTTCTTTAATTTCTTTTGTAAATGTGCACTTAATTGCCGACCCCACGTAGTGGGATTAAGGCTTTGTTGTTGTTGTTGTTGTTGTAAATGTGCACTTAATTCTGCAAGATTTTTTACGAATGACTCTGCATAATTGACACAACTTAAGAAGCGTTGCAAATCTTTCTGATTATTAATTTGTTTGAAATGATCTATTTTTGTTAATATGTGTTCTTGTATTTCAATTGACCTTTATCTATTATAAATCCTAAGAATTCGATGGTGTTGGTAAAAAAGACTGTTTTTTTTCTTACTTGATACTATTCCATATTTTTGGGTCTTTTGAGCTAGCAAAGTTAAACGTTTTAAATATTGAGTAATTGTTTGACTGAATATTAAAATATCGTCTACGTAATATAAGGCAAAATTGTGATAGTTCACTAAAAATAGTATTCATCCTTCTTTAAAATATCTGAGGAGCATTTTTTAAGCCGAATGACATTACAGTCCACTAGTAGTATCCTTGAGGTGTACTAAATGCAGTAAATTCACGACTGTCTGGATACATTCTTATTTGCCAAAATTCAGACTTACAATCCAGTTTAGAGAACCGTTTAGTTGTCTTAATATGATTGATTAAGGCTTCTTTATTATGTAGGAAGTATCCATCGAATTTCGTATTATCATTCAGTTTTTTATAACTAATTACTAATCTTAATTTAGTTTTTTATTATCAGTCAATTTTTTTATAATTTTTGGTTTTTTTGGTTTAATATAAAATTTTTTTATAATTTTTGGTTTTTTTGGTTTAATATAAAATCTCTTTTAGGAAATTCAAACGAATGAATTATAATAAGTTATATAATTTTAAAACAACAAATTGAACTAGTATTTTATTTCGAAAACATATCTAATGAACTAGTTATTCTACGAAATTAAACCTAAACTACTTAGAAAAAATTAAACTATTTAAAAATATAATCCAGTCAAGATATAAAAAATTGTCAAATACAGGAAGTACTTCTAACATAACGAATTATAATTCAGATTAATTTAAAACTAAGACGTACTAAACAAAAATATAGCCACAGCTGTTATTTTAGCTTAATGTTATAATTTAGAAAAATTTATTACTAATCAAGAAATTCTAGGATTGACAAATTGTCGGCAGCTAGAAAGTTTGGAGAGGTTGCCCGTAAGAAGTTGTCGGTCACTGGAAGTGAAGTCCCGTCGCCCGCTTCGAAAGAACATTTAATTTACATATATATATATGTATAATTTTAGAAAAATATGAAATCAAACTGACCTCATATTTTTCGCAGTTTAAATGAAAGAGCACTCTACCTCAAATCTTGTATCTATCCCGAGGGATAAACACAAGACTTGAGGATGAGGCTCGATCAAATAAACTAAGAAATATATGACATCCGTTTGGTCTGCGAAACCGTTTTATTTATCGACAAGTTCTCATATTTAATACAAAGATTTAAATAGGGTTTATTTTAGGCTGGGTTCGGAAAAACTTCCTATAAGAGCAAGCCCCTATAGTTAATTACATCTTAAATGACCGAAGTCACCTAAGAAATCTCTCGATAAAAATCAGGGGATACTATCTTCAAAGCATTCAAAAGGATAGGAATTTTCAACGAAATCGGACGAAGAGATGTGAAAGAGAGAAGACTCGAATTTGGAACATTGTTGAGGAATCCAAATGAAGAGAAAATAGGGGAGGCCACAGCAAACTAGGGGAGGCCACAGATCCGGAGGCGAACCTCGGTGACATCCCAGTCTATCATATGATTTGGTTTCAGTTTTGAGAATAAATTATCAAAGCGTTTCATCTTGCCAATTTTATTTAATTAGGGCTTATATTTGCGTGACATGGCCACACAAATCGCCTAGAAGATATGAGGGTTTACGTCATATCGGACGACAACCTCGGAACCTAGAACGAGTTAGGGCTGAAATCGTACAGCAGAGCTATA